TCTGACTTTGATGCTGAAACCTAAAATGTCATTCATGGCTAACTCATTGGTTCATTGGTTGCTCGGATGATGGTGCAGAGACAGGGCAAAGGTTGTCCACTGCAACTACATTTGCCGAGTTGACATTAGTTTAGATTTAGATTTTACCTTGGCTAAAAATAATATACATGGACGTGAAGCACGTCTTGAGGAAACCGGAAATGCATGACATCAATTTTAATTCTTTCATTGTTATCTTGTCGTGTTCGTGTCCTTCTTCTGCTTCATCTTTTTCTTGTTCTCCATCAAAGGTTGTCTATTTTCCTTGCAATTTGTACCATTGTTGCAACAACAACAACAAGACGAACAATTTTCTTGTAATTTTTACTGTTGTATATTTAACTTTCTTTTGCTTGGCAGACCCAATTCAATTCTGCAATTCTATGTTTTATTTCTTTGGAACTTTAACCGCTAATGATTTTCCTCCGCATCCTCTTCCGACTCATCTTCGCCTTCATTTAAATCGTTTTCTTTGTGTGTACTAAATGTTTGTTGTTATCCCCCCTTTGTGTTTTTTCTTGTTTACTTGCAGTTGCACCACAACGACCACGCTTGGAATATGAGGGCGCCCATGTACCGCCTGGCCATAACATTACCGTGGACGCTGGCTCCTTGGCCACAGTTAAGTGTGTCTCCCACTATGGCAATCCACCTGCAACACTTAAGTGGTTTCTGGGTAAGTTTTGTTGTTTTTGTTGTAATTTTATTTTTTTTTTATTTTCTGCTTAATTTGAAGTCCCTACCCCTTATGCTGCTCTGTGACCACAACCTCTCCCTGGAGGTTTATGGCTCATTTCATCAAAATTGTTGTAATGCGTTTTAATGTTTAGTTTCTTGGAATGCCAGCAGTTCCAGTGCGATTATCTGTAATTGTTTTAATATCCAAGGCATGGCATTGTGTCTAAAACAAAGGTGGAGGTACCGGAGGATGAGAGTAGTTCGTGGAGAAACTGTCTCAAATACACGTATTGTGTTACATAAGAAGTTGTTGGTTGGGTTGGTGTTGGAGTTGGGGGAGGTATTTACGGTTTAAAACGCTTTAGGTTGCCTTGTAACAACATTAGCTTATGGTTTCTTTGGTAATTTGTATAGGAATTATTTAATTACACTTTGCAGGAAATCTGAGCATAATTGGTATAGGATTTTTTTATTTAAAAAATAAAAAATGGAGATAATGGGTTAAAGGATTTAAAAATATGATAATAGTATTTGAGGTAGACACATTCTTTATAAAATAGTTTTAAATGTCAGATTAAAAAATCTAAAGGTGTTCTGTCAAAAATTAGAATTTTTTTAAATAAATATTTATTTAATGTAGACAAACTCCTGCAAAATGTTTAAAAAATAAGATAATTTTGTTGAAGATATCCTATAAATAAACCAGTAAGGAAAGTAGTAAAGTCGGGCGGGGCCGACTATATGATACCCTTCAACACTATGGGTATATTAAACAGGACTATTAACATGAAATTGGATGAAATAAAATATGTGATATTTATCTACATGTTAATCGACCTCAAACAAATATTAATAGATCATTCGTTGGGCTATGTCTGTACATCTAGAAAACGCAACTACGTAATTCTACGTTAGTTGCGCAAAATTTGATGTCAATCTAACATGAAGAGTTTGATGTCCAATTTACCTAAAATCGGGCGAAAATATATATATGGAAGTTATATATATTATATTGTCACAGGTTAGGTTATACTAATTTCAGTACCCTTTGTTCCTATCAGTCATATATTGGATCCTTGGTGCGTCAATTACTTAAAATCAATCTATAATATAAGGTAGCTATATCTAAATCTGGACCGATTTTCTCGAAACTTGGCACACATCATTCTGGACTAAATTCAGTACGTTGTACCAAATTTCGTGCAAATCGACAGATATATAGGGTCTTTAGTGCACTATTTACCTTAAATCGGTCGAAACTATATATGGGAGCTATATCTAAATCTAAACCGATTTTCAAGAAACTTAGCACACATCATTCTAGGCCTAATTCAGTACGCTGTACAAAATTTCGTGCAAATCGAAAGCTATTTAGGGACTTTTGTGCACCATTTACATTAAATCGGACGAAAATATATTTGGGAGCTATATCTAAATATGAACCGATTTTTCCCCTATTTCAATATGGTTCTTCCTTGAGTCAAATGAATGAGCTGTGCCAAATTTCATCCAATTCGAATAATAAATGCGACCTGTACTTTGTTTACAATTTAACATGGACAGGCGGACGGACGGACATACGTAAATCGACTTAGAAAGTGATTCTATGCATATTCTCAAAAGGAACCATAGGTATATCTCGATTCCTTTTGCCTGTTACAAACATATGCACAAAGACATAATACCCTGTACCACAGTGTGGTGAAGGGTATAAAATCGAATAAACAATTAAAAACGTTGTTCAGGCCGAATCGAACTTTTTTATGCCCTCCACAAGAGTTCAACATTCAAAACGCCAATAGGATAATGCAGTGGCGAGGTTAAAATATAGGAATAGGGTTTAGAACATGCGGAAAATGACGCGAGGCCCTCGTATAGGAGTTATGTAGAGACATGAAATTATATTGAAGATGCTATGTGAAGAAGTTGTTCACGCACCAATGTAGCAGAAAGATCGATCGATATTTTACTGAAACCCAATATGTATTTCAATATATTAGGTAACAATTCTTTACTCTGAAGAACAGTCCGAATTATTTTTTAAAAACATAAAAACCTTACTTACTCACTTAGCTGTCTTGAGACAGAAAATTTGTTCCATTATCGGAGCTTAAAAAAGATTTCCAGACGCGGCGGTCTTGTGTACCGCTCTTCCAATTTGGAAGACCATGTTGCGAATGTTGTCTTCCAGTTGATCTTTCCATTGAATTCGTGACCTTACCCTTCTGTCTGACCCATCACTTGGCTCGCTTTTATATTTGAGCTGGGACATCCCCATCCATTCTCACAATATGACCCAGCCACCGTAGTCGCTGCAGCTCGATACGTCTGACTATGTCGTTGACCGAGAATAGATTGTGCAACTCATGATTCATTCGACGTCGATAATCACCGTCCCACAGATTTTTCTGAGAATGTTTGCCTCAAACACTCCACGAGCAGCCTCATCGACCTGCGTAAGTACACATGCTTCAGATCCATACAACAGCACGGGTAGTATCAGTGTATTGTAGAGTATGAGTTTGGTCTGGCGAGGCCTTATTTTTGAATTACCAACACTATTCTACTCTGGATTTTACAGCTGATGTTATTAGTTTCGTTCATGGCGGTACCGTGTTATATAATATCGTTTACCACCTCGGAGCTGTGACATTAAATACCTCCGAACGGATAGGACTGTCGAATGCGGCTTTATAGTCGACGTATAGGTGGAATGTGTAGAGGTATATTTCGTGGGTCTTTTCCAGGATTTGGCGCAGAGTGAACATCAGGTTAATGCTGGATTTACCAGCACTGAAGCTTAATTGATAAGACTCAATAATGCCATTGACGTTCAAACAGTACGCTAGATAGCTTTTTTATGCAATAGGAAGGATACCTATTCCTCTATAGTTGGCGCATATCGTCTTGTCCGTTTCTAAGTAAGGGACAAAGGATGCTGAGGTTCCAATCATTGGGCATGCATTCCTCTAGCCCAACTGTACTAATCATCAGTGCATGCTCAACTGCTGATTTATGATCTTCAGCCGATTGATTGCTCTTCTGACCTTATCTTGGCTAGGTGGTATCTTCTTCACCGCCACTATTTGATACCGGAAGCTTTTCAAAATGCTCCAGATCCTCAAACTCTGTCCTTGTCTGTCACCAGGTTTCCATCTTCATCTCTACAGAAGGATGTGCCTGCGCCATTCTTCTGTAGAGATGCCTGGCGTTTTACTCGTTGGTAAAATTCCGGACTTCATTTTGACTCCTGTACATCTCGATTTGCTCACGCTCACGTTTTTCTTGTTCCTTCTTCTCTGCTGCGTTTTTCATATCAGTAGCATTACGACACTTCTAATCGTATCCCGGGTTTCTTGATGGTGGTTTTTGGTACCCAAGTGATGCTTTTGCTGCAGTTTATAGAGAATGGACAATTTTTTGCCATTGTGCTTCAAACGAAGCTCCCCTGACTTCGAATAACTAAACTTGTCATCAATACATAAGAATGATACATAATATTAATGACAGGACATATCACCACCCGGAAGAAAAGTGCAGCATTAAATAAGCAAGGATCCCAACCACTGCTCAAATTCAAGGGGACGTTGTTTCAACACAAGGGTAGATAGCAGTCCGATCTTCTAGGACGGATTACCAATTATCTATTTATCAAGAATTTTAAAGCATTTAATTGTCTTGGTAAAAATCGGAATCGAATTATCCGTCATAATTGAAATTATACTTTTTAGCCATAATTGTGTAGGTTATCATACCGACTTATGTCGAGTCCTTACTGGTTTATCTTCCTTTTTTTCAAGATTATTATCATCAATATTTTTTCTCATTTCATGTTTTTATTTCAGGTGACCAAGAAATCGAACCCATTCACCCGCAAACGAATGCCACCGAACCAGATAATCCTCGCACATGGTCTGCCACATCGGTTGTCCAATTGACAGCAATGCGTGAACGGCATGGTGACATTTTACGTTGCTTGGCTTATCATGAATCGTATACGGCGAAAACGGTGCCCGTCGAAGCCAGATTAGATGTGAAATGTAAGTACATAGTAAATGATAATCGAATAGAAGTTGAAAGAAGAAGAAAACGAAAATAATTAAAAGTTCAAATTAGAGAGAGATTAGGCAAAAGGGCAACTATGTTATTTTTATACCCTTCACCACACTGTGGTACAGGGTATTATGTCTTCGTGCATATGTTTGTAACAGGCAAAAGGAAACGAGATAGACACAAACAAAGTACAGGTCGCATTTATGATCCGATTTGGATGAAACTTGGCATAGGTCACTTTTTTGGCCCAAGGACGAACCCTATTGACATTGGGGAAAATCGGTTAAGATTTAAATATAGCTCCCATATATATTTTCGTCCGATTTAAGGTAAATGGTGCACCAAAGTCCCTAAATATCTTTCGATTTGCATGAAATTTGGCACAGCGTACTGAATGAAGCCTAGAATGATGTGTGCTAAGTTTCACGAAAATCGGTTCAGATTTATATATAGCTCCCATATATATTTTCGCCCGATTTAAGGTAAATGGTGCACCAAAGTCCCTAAATATCTTTCGATTTGCATGAAATTTGGCACAGCGTACTGAATGAAGCCTAGAATGATGTGTGTTAAGTTTCGTGAAAATCGGTTCAGATTTATATATAGCTCCCATATATATTTTCGTCCGATTTAATGTAAATGGTGCACCAAAGTCCCTATATATCTTTCGATTTGCATGAAATTTAGCACAGCGTACTGAATTAAGTCTAGAATGATGTGTGCTAAGTTTCCTGAAAATCGGTCCAGATTTAGATATAGCTCCCATATATATTTTCGTCCGATTTAATGTAAATGGTGCACCAAACTCCCTATATATCTTTCGATTTGCACGAAATTTCGCACAGCGTATTGAATTAGATCTAGAATTATGTTTGTTAAGTTTCATGAAAATCGGTTCAGATTTAGATATAGTTCCTATATATATATTTTCGTCCGATTTAAGGTAAATGGTGCATCAAAGTCCCTAAATATCTCTGAATTTGCATGAAATTTGGCACAACGTACTGAATGAAGCCTAGAATGATGTGTGCTAAGTTTCACGAAAATCGGTTCAGATTTAGATATAGCTCCTATATATATATTTTCGTCCGATTTAATGTATTTGGTGCACCAAACTCCCTATATATCTTTCGATTTGCACGAAATTTGGCACATCATAATGAAATGGGTCTAGAATGATGTATGTTAAGTTTCCTGAAAATCGGTTCTGATTTAGATATAGCTTCCATATATATTTTCGTCCGATTTAATGTAAATGGTGCACCAAATTCCCTATATATGTTTCGATTTGCACAAAATTTGGTACAGCGTAATGAATTAAGTCTAGAATGATGTGTGTTAAGTTTCGTGAAAATCGGTTCAGATTTAAATATAGCTCCCATATATATTTTCGTCCGATTTAATGCAAATGGTGGACAAAATTCCCTATATATCTTTCGATTTGCTGTAAATTTAGCACAGCTCCCATATTTATATATATATATATATTCATCCGATTTAATAGATATGGTGCACTAAAGTTCTTATATATATATATATGTCCGATTTAATAGAAATGGTACACCAAAGTTCTTATATATCTTTCGTTCTGTTAGGAGACTATGTAGAATACACTCAAAGTGGTGAAGGGTATCATATAGTCAGTCCGACTTTACTCCTTTCCTTACTGGTTCTATGTTAAATAAATGTTTACAAGAACAAACACCCACACTAAATAGGAAATTTATAGCAAATAAATATGGGAACCATAATTATCCGACCGAATAGATTATAGATATTACCCTCAATATTATCAATGAAAGTACAGTCCTTTTTTCGATATGCTGAAGTTCCTAGCCGGGTTTTCCAATCAATGTATCTGTAATTTCAATACATAAATCTCACATCCAGGTCTCTAAATTTTAAGTAGATAAATTATGACTGTATCACCCTTACTTCCAGATCGCCATTGCTTTAAAATAAAATATTTCATATTTTACAAAATATGGCGCCCAATAATTCGATTTTCATTAAATAGCCTTAAGAATTTCCTCCAACCTACTTAAAATCTCCTTAGCAAAAAAAATCTTCCAAACACTAAACAGGAAACATATTTTCATTGGATTTCCCCCTAAGGACTTCCTCCGAAAAAGGATAAACAATTAAATTACAGTGTGCCAAATACAACACTTCATGGCGGCAGTTGCCTCAAAACAAATTAAATTTCCTTTTGTAAAATTCAAACAACCAAACCCAGGGCGTTTTAGCTAAACTATCATTTGCAGTTTCCCAACTCCCTCGGCAAATATCTTCCCAGGCTCTTTGCCCGCCCTACACCTACACAATTACACAAAATTTTATAATAAATTTCGTTTGAATTAAATGAAAAACATGGAAAACATTTTTAGTTATCCATCCATCCGAAGTCTGGCAGCCACCTTGGGTCCAGGCAGAGGAAGCCTGAGAATGCTATGAGCTCTGAACGTCACTAAAAATCCATGTATATATATCCTGCTCCCAAAAACAACAATAATATGTTGAGCCAAAAAAAACAACAAAAAATTGGAATTTGGCAACAAGTCAAATGTGTAATTCCCTTGTACAGCTGCTAACCGGTAATGCCAGTAACGAATGGGCTTGGGTTTTGGCAGGATGAAAGGTTGGCTGGCTGCTTGGTTGCTTGGCTGGCTGCAATGTCTAAATGTCCGGGCGGGATCAACACTGTTGTTCTTCGTACAACACAAGAAGACCTACCGACTGACTGACTGCCTGGCTGCCGGTTAAATCAATTAAATTAACTGCAATTTTCCCTCAATATGCTTTAGTGGTTGTACTTGTTGTTGTTCTTGTTGACTTTCTTCTTCCTGCCTGCCAAACAGCGACTACACAGAAATTTTCTGATATCCTATTTTACCGTGTTTTTTTCTCTCTTTTACAGACGCACCAACAATACGTCTAATTGGCTCACCGGAAATCGACTTGGAAGAGGATAAAGATGCATTGATATTACGCTGTGTAGCGGATGCCAATCCACCGGCCAATATTGTTTGGCGGCGTGCAGGACGTTCTGAAATTGCCAGTCTACAGGTAAGTCGATGCATGTTATGTGCACGGATGCACCTACACATACAACTGCATACACAATACAATATTTCGATGCCAATATCATTGGAAATGGATAAAATGACAGCGAGAGAAAATTATAAGAACAAAAAATTTAAAATAAGAAGAAATATTCAAACGACAAGAATTCGTTGAAGAATTTAGAGGTGGTGTGATAAATTGTGATAAAATACATTTAAAGGCACAGATTTAAAATAATTCAATGGATATTTGAAAATATGTAGAAGCATCGACTTATATTGAAAAATTACAATCACTTCTGTGAGTCTACTGCTATAATTCTTGGTAGGCCACCTAATGTGAACAGAAATTATCAAATAAAACCGTCTCTGAAATGCTGAATATTGAGGTTATCGTTTTTGAAAACGTGGACCTATGTTGATAGTTTTTGAAAGGTGGATTTTACAACCAATGATAACCCAAATTATGAAAATAACAGCCAATTCGGTTTAAAATCTTGTCTAAAAATGCCAACATAACTATCTTTTGGGGTACCGTTATATGGAGGCTACACTGACACTGCTTCTTTGGCCTTCCCAACCATAGGGAGAACTTGTTTTAAATCAAGCGTTTTCGAACCATTCCCCCGTGTAGGGATACGAAAACTGTTCGATTTTTTGCCTCTGACCAAAAAGTCGACTTTTAGACTTTTCTTTTTAAACTAAAAAGTCGATCTTTCGATTTTGTCAAACCTGTTCAAAATCAATTTCGACTTTTACCGACTAAAGCAAGATCGACAAACAATTTTATTTCTGGGATGTGTATTTTTTTTGGGAAATTTCGTCTTTGTGATAATGAACCAAGTCTATATGAAGAAAATCGAAAGTCGATCTTGAAATGTGTCAAAAGTCGACTTCGACTTTTAGACTTTTGTATAGAAAAGTCTAAAGAACGATTAATCGATTAGTCGAAATTCGATTTACTAATCCCTACTCCAGTGATATTTCTTCCAGTGAACTTTCATCCACCAGTATGTTTTCTCCAATGTGAGGGCTTACCAGGGACACTACAGCTCCATAATTTCATATACTATGATGCATATCTTCAGGAAACTTAATATTTGCATCTTCTGGAATCTACTGTTTGAGCTCCATACTTGATGCCTTCAAAGATTCCATTTCGATTGGGCAAATTATTATTATCACGCGTTGTCACATCGGCTAATTACAGTATCGGCTTCATGGAATATCTTTCTCAAATCATTCCTCTGGTTTTTTGTCCTTTTTATGTCCTTATTATTAACATGATCGGTATAAAAACATTCTCAATCTGGTTATTTTCCGTTCTCATATTTTCGGCGTCATTTTTGAAGCCCGCCAGTTGGGATATTTTCCGGAATGATATTATTGAATACAAATGCGTACACATGGCGTTTAACTTCTCGGATATTCAAGGAAATCGCCGATACTGCTTCTTCCTCCCATTTTGAATATCTCTTATGAAGTGCTCTACCCTAAAATCTAGCATTCTTGTGACTTGGTTGGGGTCTTTGCTTATATTGTGTTGTCATTGCCCTCTTGGTGGCACCATCTCCTGCAATACCTATATTGTGTGAACGTCATGTTTTGATATGTATGCCAAGAGTGGTTTTAGAATACCAGAGAGGGCTAAAATACCTTTCGTCTCGAAGGGAATGTAAGCCTATTTTAACGAATATTCAAAAAATGCCTTCAAGGAATTTTTCTTTTCTCCACTGGGGCGCATAGGATTTCTCCACTGGTGAGCATAGGCTTTCTCAAAGCATGGTCATCTTACTCGATTAGTCTTCAGCCCATTTAAGTAAATGATTGGTTTGCTGAAGCCTGTCCTAGGTAATGGGACTGCCATCTATCGTTGCATAAAAACAACGTCTTCATGCATTTATGTGCAGTGGTTGGTTGGGGTTCTTGCTTATTTAGTGTTGTCATTATACATTAGGTGACACAATATCCTCGCTGCAATTCCTATGTTTTGTTATTGTCAAGATTTGAAACCAGACTTTTGAGTAAAAAAATTCCCTACAGGAAGAAATGGTCCGGAAAAATTTTCCATGTATAAAATAGGGAAGCTTGGCCACAACCTGATATTAATTCTATTGACTACAATCTCGCTTTTCTAGACACTGAAAAACTTTTTTGGAAAAAATTGTCAATATATGTACATGTTAAAATCCTATACTCATCTTGGCAGCATACGACTTTCGCAAAGCATTGTCATCTTACTCGATAAGTCCTCAGTCCATTTAAGTATATGATTGGTATGCTGTAGTCTGTTCTAGGTAATGAGACTGCCTATATAGTGTTGTCATTGCCCTTTTGGTGGCATTATCTGCCTGCAGTCCTTATGTTGTGTTATCGTCATGATCTGATTTTGATGCCAAGGCTGGTTTTTACAATAGTAGGGAGGCTTAGAATACATTTCATCTCGAAGGAAATGTAAGTCTATTTTTAGGAATATTCAAAAACCACTTTGAAAGAATTTTTCTTTTCTCATCTGTACTCTTGTGGGGAGCATAGAATCGTCATATTACTACCTGATTAGTCCTCAGGACATTTAAGTAAATGATGGGGTTTCTGTAGCCTGCCCTCGGTAATGAGGCTGCCATCTAGGGTTGCCTTAAATCAACGCCTCCTTCAATTTTTGTGCAGGGGTTGGGGCCCTTGCTTATTAATGTTGTCATTGCCCTCTTGGTGGCACTACTCCATATGTTAGCGTCATGTTTGGATATTGATGTCAAGGCTGGTTTTTAGAACATTTCATCTGGAAGGAGATGTAAGCCTATTTTTACAAATATTGAAACCCCGCTTTGTAAGAATGTATCGTTGCCTAAAAACAACGTGTTCTTGCATTCTGGTGCAGTGGTTGCCCACTGAATCCACAATCTCCCTCCAATTTGTTTTGTCTTATCGTTATGTGAAAATATTGATGCCAAGGCTGGTTGTTAGAAAATCGCGGAGGATTCGACTGCATTTCAACTGTAATGAAATGTAAACCTGTTTTTATGAGTATTCAAAATCCGTTTTCAAAGTTTTTTTCTTCCTCACTGGGATTTTAAACCGAGACCCGGGACTGCAATACGCCACCACCAACTTTTTTCACATCCTTCATATAAGGTTTTAGATGAGTTTTAATGTAATGTTAATTCTAGTTCTATTTAAATGTTTCTGAAATCCCGATTTGATGTTTGGAATCGATGTACAAATGTTCGTCAGTCCGTTTGTCTGTCTGTCCAGCTGGAGCGCACGATAACTCTCGAACGGAGTAACCAATTTCATCCAAACTTTATACATCGTAATATTTCTTCCATACCTAGTTCAAGTCCGAAGATGGTGCTAAAAATTATTATTATTACAAAGCCTAGATCAAGTCCGAAGGTAGGAGCCGTCAGTCCTCTCCTTCTGGTACCTGTCCCACAAAGGTTCAACATATTATAAGCTTGTAAATTTAATTTGAAGAGAATTGAATAACTGATTTGATCAAAATTAAATCTGAAAATGTTTTATTAAAAAATATACCTTATATATTATGTGTGTAATTCCGAAGACATCCGCAAACCATTGGCTAAGGTTATATATCTGACTGTAACACCGACTGACACTTTTTTACTTGAGGTGGAAAATGTTTCAACCTTACTTCTCAACTTATCACAACAACATCATAACAATTATTGACAATAACAGATTTAAATTTAATATAGCATATAATTGTAAATGTCTATATACTCGTGCATACATACATATTTCTCATATGGCCAAAATATGTATATTCAACATTAATATAATTTTGTTTTTACCCACTATACTTCTCTCTCTCTTTTATTTTCTGCTCACAGGAAACTTTACAACTACGACCAGTTGGACGACGTGATGCCGGCTTATATACCTGTGAGGCACGAAACTCCGTTGGTACCTCAGAACAGTTATCTGTGCAGTTGGATGTGAAATGTAAGTTTCAAAACGTTTTTCAAACTTTTTTTTCTGTGAAAGCGCGAAAAAAGTTGGTTATTGGCAAGCCATAATCAATGTTTTCCATATTCGTTTCGTTTTTTTTTTCATCATTTTTCATCTCCCGTAGATCCCCCCAAAATATTGTCCGCTGGACCGGATCGTTTAACCACAGCACCATTATTTACACCAGCCGCCTTTGAATGTGTGGCCGATGGCAATCCAATGCCCTCGTTTAAATGGGTTCAACGGTAAGTAAAACGTCCAGCTATCACAAAGTTGTTCTTCTGTCATTCGGTTCGGTTATTCCGTCCATACATCTTGAGGGCGATTTTTTTTGTAGGGATTTTGAAAAAAAAATTTAAGGGGCTTTCAGGTTTTTTTAGTTTTTTGTATTTTGGTTAATAATTCCAATTCCCTTGATGGATTTTGTCGTGGTTATTGTTTTGTGGGAGAATATGTGTGTGGTTCACTTTGTGAATAGTTGTGGGTTGGGTTTTCTAACAACCTAACAGAGGGAGAAATACGTGACCGCCATTGGCATGGCATCTCCAATATACACAGATACAGGGATATCTCACCTCTATCTATCATATCTATTAAATTTCTGGCCTCCAGACTAGCAATGCTTTGTGGGAGTCCTAGCTCTTCATATTTCTATTGCTGATGGGAAAAATAAAAACGCAGCAAACTGTGTGTGTGTGGTGTATTTCCCACTCACAATAATTTGTGTGCGTCTGTATGGGTGTTCTAGTCGGGACAGAGGGCGTTTTTGTAGATTATTGCGTTTTCCATTAAAAGTTTGTGTTGGCGGGTTGGTTTTTTTATGTTCTCCTCTTTTTGTTTCTAGACTAACTTTGTTATTTTCACATTTGTAGATTGAAAACATGTTTTTTTGTTGTTTTGTTTGTTTGGTTGGTTGGAAAAGGAAAAATTGTTGGTCTGTCTTTTTTTTGTGGGCGTTTTTCATGGGGGCTGGCTTGGTTTTGTTTGTCTTTTATGTTGAGTTGCTGCTCACTTTTTTCGAATTGAAAACTCTAACAACGACGTGTTGTACATTTACATGTTCAACAAATCGAGAAAACAACTGCAACAACAACAACAATAGTTAAAGGTTCTCCTTTATCAATCATCCAGATACGTTGGAATACATTTGGGAATTATATTGAATGCGTTATGAATCGCCATAAAATGTTTCAGACTTTAAGAAAAACGATTTGACATTTAAAATCGTAAGGACGACCTTAAAAAATTAATGTAAGAAAACAAATTATAATTCCAAAAAAAAAAAAAAAAACTCAACAAGAGCTACGTTCTAAAAAACATTCCAATAAATTTGTTATGGGTCTGAATATTGTCTGTCATGAATTCAAATAAAACAATTTCATTCAAAATATAAACAAGTAAAACAGCGTTAAGTTCGGCCAGGCCGAACTTTTGATACCCTCCACCATAGAAATACTGACAATTTTTTTTAAATGAAAACATAGGGAACATACATATAACGACAATTCTTCCAATCGATTGTTATAAACCAAATAGAAAATCCAGCAAATTCAATGGGGGTTTTCCTAAAATCTCAAAACCCTAAAATGTTGACATATATTATTAACGCATGGTACGGTGAAACATGTGTATAAAATCCTGAAAATACTCCAATTTAAAGGGCAATATTATATTAAGGCATACTAAAGCGGGACCAATATTGACCAACATTGTGTAGGAATTAGCACTACTTGGTGTTTTCATTATATAAGGAGTTAGGTCTAATTAATGGCCGATGTAGCTCAAGTTCCAAGCTAATATATTAGTTTTGAATCCCAATACCGTCCATCACGGTAAATATTAAATAGGTAGGATGTTTTATATAGGACCTGGTCCTAAATGCGGGTCGATACAGTTCGTTATCACGTTTTAGTTTATATGTCGATATCCTCTGAGAGAAAAATGATTACAACATATGGCAAAATCGGGGTATGAACTGAAAATTTCGCCTACCGAATATTCCCCCTACTATGGTTTATATGATAACCCCAATAAACGGAAAAAATCAGCTAACAGTACGTTAACATTTAACCGGATTTCGTTAACCCAGTGTGTTTCAATTGTCAATTCCATTGCATATATGTCAAATAAATCCTCATAAAGTAGGTTAACCCGGTAAAAAGTTCTAATGTATAAGCCGTTTAACTACCCATCGTTTAACTACCCTACACAACTACCACGAAAAAAGAACATTTTCTGCGGTTTTATATTTT